CAAGATATAATTATCACAACAGATATAGTAGTACATATAATAAACTTAAAAGATATTGACAATATTTTGAACGAAATAGGAAAAAACATAGAAATGACAAACAACGACAACAAACACATATTACAATCGGAACTAACTGAAACAAAAACAAATTGTATACCCTATATGGAAACCACAATCGCGAAAGAAGAGGATTAATTAATGTAGTAGGTAGTTCAGCAAAATGGTTGTTTGGAACAATGGACGATGAAGACAGGAAAGAAGTTGAGAATCATATCTCTACATTTAAAGAAAACATGCAGGAAACAGAGGAAGCATTAAACAAGCAAATTTACATAAATACGTATTTCAACGATACAATAAAATACATTGAACAAATAGTTAAATCAGATAGAGAGGCAATAGAGAGACAATTGAATGCAATTAGCAAATTCGAAAATAACAGATACCAGGAGAACTTATATTACGACCAACAGATAAAAATTCAGTTAATAAAAAATAAGATTGAACATTTGCAGGATAACGTTGCTTCTGCTAGATACAATATATTACATCCCAGCATATTAACAGATCACGAAATAAAAAAATACAATATCGATTTCAACAAACTAAACCATATAAAGTTAGCTACGGCTATGTTCAGAAATAATCTTTTAGTATTCGCAATAGAAATACCAAAAAACTTTACAACAGTAAAAATACATCAGATAATACCGATGCCTAATGAAGAAAACTTTGAAATAGATCAGGAATCAGAATTGATATTTAATTATAAAAATTCAACATACACCTATAAAACAAATAAAAAATTAAAAGAAATGCGAAAAAGTAAACATTGTGTATTTAAGAAAATTGCAAACTGATACAAAGAAAGGAAATGCAAATATTAGAACTAGACGAAGAAACCGTAGTAATTAAGAATGCAAAAAACGAAACATTATATCAAAATTGCAACAGCAATGAAATTAAAATGAAAAAAAATATTCTAATACACTTTACAAATTGTACAATAGGTATAGAAAATAATTATTTTACAAATTCATACGAATTAGATAAGAAAAGAATTGTATATGAGAAATCAAACCAAACTCAAAATTTTACTAAACAAATCACTTTTGAGAAAATATTGGAAAATAATAAGATTAACTGGTCGAACATAAGAAAGTTAAAAACACATAAAGACATAAATTATTTTTTAATGCAACCATACTTTTGTCAATAATTGTATTAATTGCGTACATTGTTTTAAAACACAAGAAAATTAAAATTCAGCTCAATAACAATAGAATTCAGGAGAATTCTTATCTAAAAGGGGGAGAAGTTACGTATAACCCCACTTCACTTCCCGCATATGTCCAAAGCCCAATTTCTTCTTTACCACCTCTTAATAATAAAGTTCAAGAATTGCTTAACTCAATAAATGCTAAATAAACAATATATTAAACAGGAAATGCACAGGTTAACGATCTGGCACATGCCAACCAAAATGAGTTCTAAGAAAATCCAAATAAGCAACATAACACAGTAAACAGGAAATGCATAGTTCATCGATCGTTATTAAATTCAGGCTAACTAAAGGCCAACGATCTGACACATGTAAATCAGAATAATTAATAAGCACTTCTGTAAACCTAAATTAAGTTTTCTTTAAAACATTATGAATAAAGAATAATCAGTTGATTTTTGCCCACCAAAACCGCTGGATGTGTTTTTATTCACGAATAATTTATTTTTTTTTAGCTTCGCGACTCCCTTTTAACAAAATTCGCGCGCCCAAGATCGCTTACAGGAACACTGGGCAAGGCACCGGCACGGGCACACTAGGAAAAGAGATCCCGCACAAACGGAGGGTACAGTAGACCTCGCTAAGCCCTATATAAAGCAGACCACAGTCGTATTTCGACTCTCAGCCGCCGACAGCGATTGGAAGATGTTAGCCTTCAGAAGTCAGTAGCAAAGTCACTTTTGGTTGGACAAGATCCTTGGATCGAGTCCGATTTATACATTGTAGTTAGCTCCCCGTAGTTCCTATTAACTTTTAACCCTCTTGGCTGACTTTAGAGTCCAACAACAACACGTCTCTCTGGCTGACTTTCAAGTCCAACAATAACAACTCTCTTTGGCTGACTTTTTGGTTTGGCAACAACTCTCTCTGGCTGACTTTCGACTTCAATAACCACACATATTAATGGCTGACTTTCGGGTCCGACAACAACTCTCTCTGGCTGACTTTCGGGTCCAAACAACAACAACTCTCTCTGGTTGACTTTCGAGCCTAACAATAACAATTCTCTCTGGCTGACTTTCGGGTCCAACAACAACACGTCTCTCTCTCTCTGGGTAACAACAACGTCTTCGTGATTTGAGTTCCGAATCCGACAGACGCTTTTCTTCAGAAAATAACTTACCCGGCACCCCCGCGGATACCGACGAGCGACGACGAGTCACAAAGTCGTGTAGCTAATTATGGCTGACGCATCCGGCACCACCACCAGATCCAGCAGCGTGAATGCGCCCGGTACCACCACTACTTCCTGCAGCGAGGACGCTCCTGGCACCGCCACGAGCTCCAGGAGCGTGAACGTGCCCGGCACTGCCAATAATCAAACCACGTGGACCAACCGCCACAAGATCCAGCAGCCAGCACCACCACCAGATTCAGAACGGCTGATATATCCGGCACCGCCGCTAGTTCTAGCAATGCTGCCAGGGCTAGCACCGCCGTGATGCCTAATGGCACGCAGAGACGGACACCACCACCCAACTTCAGCATCTACCCTAGTTACCGGACCTCACACCACGGTACGAGAATATATCCAGCGATGATGAATTCAGATAAGCTGTCAGACCAACCGCCGCCGTACCCAAGCAGGAGGGTGTTCCGATCGGAGTTATCGAGCTCTCTGACTCTGACGACCGAAGTATGCTACTGTGGAGGGATCTACTGCTCTACAGTACACACCACCACAACGAATCAAGAGCTATACAGGCCCAATCCGTACGACAGCTATCGCCTGGCCTGGAAGCAGCCGCCATCCACCACTTCCCCCACAACGGAGGTCGAAGAGGACAGCATTCCGGAAACCCTAATAGATGACTCCAGAATCTCGGCCCAAGCAGCCGGAACCATCACGAGCAACCACTGCAATCGCAAGCTCCCACTGGGAGCATCCAACTGGGAAATTGGGAGAGACGTGATGCCGCCAACCCAACGCGATGCTCCACTAACACGATAAGGTACGTGTTCGAAGCTAACATCAGTGAACTGGGATTAAAAGAAATTTGGCATTTTCTAAAATAATGTATAAATATTAGGTTGCAAACGCATAAACGCTATTTCTGTTATTTAGATGGAAAAAGTCGTAAAAAAGACATGATTTCTTTTGAAGCCAATCTCTTTAGCAGAAGCATTTAGCTTTGACATTTGCTTTTTAAAACCACGCAGAAAATAAAAGGCAAAAGTCCATAGGCGATCCGCAGAAATTAGTGCTTGAATTGGTCGACCTCAAAAATCATTTTCATTTTTTGTCCCGTGCGAAATCACCTGAATTCACTTGGTCGTTGTTATTCTCGGCTATTTTCACAAGCGCAGTGAGTTTCGATGTGTTCTCTTTGAAGGTCTAGCTGCAACTGCTTACAACTCTACTACAACTACACTAAAGCAACTTAGCTTACGTGAAAATATCAAGAATGACTCTGCTGATTTCATGGGAGACCTCATAAAATGCAATAGTTGATGAATCATTGATTAACTGTTAATGAATTGTTGTTAATGACAGCCGAGGACATGCAAATGTTAAATTCATCAGTAATTTGTATGGGTATTAATGGATGAATCATCAACAACACCGCCTTGACTGTTGATGAATCGTTGACTGATTACTGATGAATGATACTGCAGGGTAGGTTTTACATACAATAGTAAATTCAATTCAAAATTTAAAAAATGCCACGCAAGCGACGGGCGCACTAACACTGCGAACTTAAATCGAGAAGCGGGAACCGAGAGGAATTAACGCGGAGTAAAAAAAGAGGAATTAGATTTTGTCCAGAAGAGTAGCGAGAGACCCAAAAGGAGAAGAAGAAAAGTTCAAGTTCAAGGAGTTCAATTAAACCAAGCGACGAGAACAACGAGATACTGGCTGCGAGAATCAGGCTGATCTTAGTGCGTGCGACAGGGACAGATAGGGTAACAAAATTGAAAAGGAATAGAGCTGTATAATTTTATAGCTGAATATCATGATCATCTCATTTTTTTGTTGAAAATATTTACTACGATTTTACCGCCTGCTAGTGTTCTGGACATTTTTGTAGTTTTTCGTTTCAGTCACCAAGTATTCCGGGCTTTTCGGTCAGAGTTACTAGTAGGTTAGCCGAGATTGTACCGCCAAAAAATATTCCAATCACATTCACATAGCTGCTAGCGTCTAGAGAGAAATGAGCCGTCAGTGAGTGTTCCGGAGTTTTTCCTACGAACACTGAAGCAGGTCATAAAAGAGGTGAATTTGACTTGACCGGGAATTTTCAAATAAAAACACTATAAGGGGCGGACTGAGACGCCGACACCAACTAATCGCATTTAACGATCGTTTCTATGGCAGCCATCTTATATGTATGATATAGTCTTTCGATTTTCATAAAATATACACCGAAATTCTTGAATATCTTAAAGTAGATAAAAATATATTGAAAATCTGAAAAGTTATAATTTTTTTTTTAATTTTGCTTTTATAGTTGTCCGACCCGGCCTGTTCCGACCTAAATACAAATGAGAATACAAAGAATGCAATTTTTATTTAGATAGCTTCGAAGCTTTGAGACAATTTGCTTAGCAACAGACGGACGGACAGACGAACACGTCTAGATCAACTCGGCAGTTGATGTTAAAGGCACATACTTTATATAATACCCTGCAAGGGTATACAAATTATAGTGCATTTGTAAAAATTAAGCGCTGTGTCATTGTGTTATCAATTGTAAGCATACAACATTTAACGTACCTGAATTCCATTATACGAAAATCGTAAAGATTAAGTTTAAAATTTATGACATTTATTGCTAACTCAGCATAAACGATGGTATTATCCAAAGATCCAGTTATTTTGCCAAAGCCTTCCACAGTCATTACATTTAGTGAAAATGTGTACTCGAACTAATAAATGAAAAATATTTTTATTTCTTAAAAGTTTAGAATTATTTATATATATATATATATATTATGTAACATAAAAACAAAAACTGTGTAAATTTTTGGACTTCTTCCATCAGTTGAGGAAGGCTTAAACGATATGGATGATGTTTTTCTTTTTGGATTTGTTGTAAAATATTTTCGAAAACTGTTCTGAGAACTCTTTAGGTCCTTAACAAATTTTGACAACACGCGTTTAACGTACACTGTAACATTTAAGCAAAGCTTACAAGGTCATTTTTGTGAGATTTGATTAAGTTTATTTTTAGAATAATGACTGCTAATAGGCGATCAATCATTGGACGGCGTACACTTGCTGCACTTCTGCAAATGAATGTTCGTAATAATAAAACACCAGATGAACGTGCCGAACAAAATGCATTAAAACGGACCCAATATGCACAGATTCTTCCTACTAAATAGGCGGGTAAAATTATCAAAAACAACCTTAACGCACTTCTGTATCCCAACCTTGGCAACTCAGATCTAGCAGTGGCCAGGTTTGAAGTAGCAGATGGGACAGCCATAATCTTAGCCTCCGGCTACATGGCCCACGACGAACCGACATTAGGGTGATGCAGTGAGCTGAAGACACCAAGACGACGCTTATCCTTGGGTCGCCAACGCTAGGCACAAGCTATGGGGAAGTAAGGAAACAAGGGATGAGTCTCTTTTTGATAGAATTATAGGTCGTGACACCAAGGAATCGACAAGGATGTCGAGGACTTCAGTAACATTCTCAACAACTCCAACAAGAAGTCATGCAGACTCACGTTCTCAAAGAAGACATACCCACAGCGATGGAACAATGAATTAAGCATACTGAGGAATTGGGTAGGAAGGCCTTCAATACTAGCTACGAAGCCAAGGATTTGCAACCGTACAAAGAGATAAAGAAAGAATACAAAAAAGCGATATACGCATCCAAGAAAAAATCTTGGGGCAGCTACCGCAAATCGCTAGAAGGAATTAAAGACACGGCTTATAAACAGGCCTGATGGCACAAGAACGACGTAAGCAAAAGAAAAGGAAACCAGATAGAAAAATCTGGAACAACGGATACGAGTGGAAGTGATTGTCCCTATGGAAAGAATCCGTTGGGCGATCGACTCCTTCGACAAGTAAAAAAGTCCGGGTCCGGACGGAATTATACCACCAATGCTGCAAAAAACAAAAACATGCATGGGTAGGTGGCTACAAGCAATCTTCCAAGCATGTTTAAAAATAGCACACATACCACTTCCGTGGAAGAAAGCAAGAGTAGTTTTCATACCCAAACCAGAAAGAAGAGGACAAATTCATGTCAAGGAATACAGCCCGATTAACCTGACCTCATTCCTCATGAAAACATTGGAACGGATACTGGATATCCACATCAGAAGTAAAACGGAGAAACGCCTTTCCGACCCACAACATGCATACAGGAAAGGCAGATCCACAGAAACAGCACTTCATGAAGTGGTTCGATACATAGAAAAGACACTCCTCTTCAAGAATAACACTCTGGCCACCTTCTAAGACGTAGATGGGGCCTTCAATAACGTAAACGCAGACTCCATCCTGAGCTCCCTCAACAAGATAGAAGTTGAAGAAGGCATCGGAGCCTGGATCGGCGCAAAGCTAATCAGCAGACGGATAACTGCCGAACTGAGTGGCACCCATCACACAAGATTTGTGAAAAGAAGCACTCCTAACGGAGGTGTTCTGATCCCGCTGCTATGGCTAATAAACTTGGATGACATATTAAAAGTACTCAACACTCCTACTGACTTCAGGATCATTCCCCGAAATCATCAGCGAACTGATGACAAGGGCACTCACCAAACTCAATGCATGGGCCAAAGCCTACGGAGCTTATGCTCTTCACAAGACGAACAATGATTCCCAACTTCAATAAATCTCAGATAGAAGACATAGAACTTGGACTATCGATACAAGCTAAATATCTGAAGGTGATATTAGATTCGAAACTGTCATGGAAACAAAACATCAACGAAATAGTCAAAAAAGCTAGCATTGCTTTTTACTCCTGTCGGAAGATGTTCGGAAAAAACTGGGGCATCCACCCCAAGATAATAATTTGTCTCTACACATCGGTTGTAAGACCCATACTTATTTATGGAACACTAGTGTGGTGGCCAGCATTAACTAAGGCCTACAACATCCAGAAACTGACAAGGATTCAGAGATCGGCATGCGCAGGCGCAACGGGTGCACTAAGATTATGTCCCGCGGCAGCGCTGAATGTCATCCTAAACATTATTCCACTAGAACATTTAATCAGGAATTCAGCAGTCTAAAGTTTGGTACGACTTAAGGTAGGCCAGAGCTTGAAGAACTGCCACACCGGGTACTGTAAGATCCTTGACGGGATTAACTATCGGATGACTGAAGAAACTGAAGTGCGATTCGGCAACACTTACACCACTATATACCAAACAAGGGAAAATTGGAATGGAGCCAGATGAGGTATCACTCTACACCGACAGCTCAAGGATGAGCTGCGGGGTAAGGGCCGGAATCTTCGCCGAGAGCTGGGGAGTAGAAAAGTCCTTCCACCTCCCAACGTCATCGACAGTATTCAAGGCGGAAGTTCTTGCAATACTGAAAGCAGTCCAACCCTCACTGAATCGAGGCCTCCGAAAAACCAAGGTAAGGATCTAATCAGAAAACCAAGCTTAGCGTAAGGCTATTAAATTGAGTGTCCAGCATCAAGAACATTTCATTACTTTTATGAAATCTCGCATGAAAGACATCATCTCCGTTTCTACATCGCAACAGACTTGGAAAGATGAAAGATATATGTCGTCTCCTCTTTGCTCATACAGAGTGCACATCCACCTGCACTCGAATTGTCCTCACTTGTTAAGAACAATGATACAGTGCCGACGAGACAGAATCATCCACCAGAGACTTTAGGGAAATTAAATCCAAAATAAAAATTATAATTATGACGAGTAATTTTAAACGATCGTCAAATAATTATCGCCACACTCATTACTATTTTATATCTAGTCCAGCAAGTTTTGGCGGGTTTTCACACAATTTATACAAATTTTTTGTTGTGTTCCTCAGACAAAAACAAGGTTTCCAAATAATTTTAAAATTGTTGTCAAATATTTAATAGCTTTTTGGTTCCTAGATTCTATATATAAATAAGTCTAAATACATAAATGTCGAACTTATAAACCATTTCAAAAATGCAAAAATATATAAAATCATTATGGCTCCATCTTGACCTCTGACAATCCAGCATCGCCCATTCCATCTCAGTATACGTAAAATAGGAGTATACATATTTCATTTACGAAAGGTGTGCCGACCAGCTTATGGAGCAGATCGATCCGATCTCTGCTAAATAAGCTCAAGTCGAACACGCTCCGCATCAGCAATTAGAGTATTCCCCCTCCATTACACTTATTAAATGTTTTGTGAATTCGTTCAATTTTATCCAGTGGCACCAACTGTTTGGTGATGGTATGCATTCGATGATATGTTCTTAACTTTGCATAGATAAGCACAAAATGTTCAGAAATTGTCTTAGCAACTATATTTACAATTTAATTTGGAATTGATAATACTTAGTTAAATCGCAAATTATTGTGATTGCACATGCAGAGGACCGAAAGCACCGTGTCAAAAGGTAATAAAGGTATTGATTGTATGTTTCTGTATGAGTTCTTGGCTTGGCCTTTTTGTAGTTTTAATATATATTTCGTCATGTTTGGCCAGTAGTATTGTTTTCTAATTTTTGACAGTGGGCCGGTTATTCCAAAGTGCCCTGCTCTCAACAACGTTTTAAAGGTCTCTAGAGTTGGACGTATGAGAGTGGCAGTTGAGTTAGAACAGGATTCTCAGGTTTCAGGTGTTTTGACATTGACTATTTAAAAACGATTGTCTAAAGAAGGCTGTTTGTGGCCGTTATTTACTCTAACACCCTACTGGCTGAGCCCGCCGCTTAACACAGATCAGTGGAGGTTTTAATTGAAAACAACCTGAAGCCAGCTTTGTGATATTTGTATAAATAATAAGTTATTGTTAATAAGTTTAGACAGATCAGTTGGTCTTTGTAAGAGCATTTCTGAGAGTTGCTTACTTGCTTGTTGTATCATCAGTCCCCAAAATGGAGTTTTTGTATACCCCTGTTCGAGCTGAAGTTAAATTTTCCATGTTTATCGAAGTTCCATTTGTGAAAAATCCGCGTTATTAATTTGTTTATTTTTTAACAATCTACTTCTCCAAGTTCCAGACATATATAATTGGCAATCATATGCTGTCGATATCGTACACTATTTGCATTTCAAAGAGTGATCGCATAATGTATACAAGAAAAACTTAAGGGAATATCGTAACTGTTTTAAAGATCCTTAACAAGGACGACTCTGAAATATATGTGAGCAATAATGGTAAATAAAAAAATGCATTGGCTGTTTGCAATGGACTATTCTTTACGGATGGGAATGGGGAATGTGGCAAACCTATTCCTCAAATGGAATGCGACTATAATACGGAGTTCTCTAAACTTGCTGGTAATAGCAGGATAGCGAAATCCAGATCTAGCGTTCGTGTTCATTCCTCTGCCCCGGTTTCTCCTTCTTCCTCCAATTCCGACCTGCTGAGTATTTTCCGAATGCTACAAGAGCTTCAAACGGTGATGTTATTCCTCACAGGGAAGCTGTATCCCAGAATGTGAAATAGATTCAGGGAGGATGCACTCTGACAGTTCCAGTTATAGAGCTCATTAAGACTAATGACCTCCGCATTGTGAATCTTCACGTCAGGAGGCCCTTTGCGACCAAAAAGCTTTCAAGAGCTGGTACGCTATTGCGCTCCGGTAAGTCGGTCCTTCGCGCACTGCCTGTCGAGCGAATCTACGTGCACCCGCCATCCTCTCCTCGGTATTTGCGATCGCTTGCTTCCCTGTTTCCGAGGTTCACTTGCTGCCAAGTGAG